TATACATATATATATATATATATATATATATATATATATATATATATATATATATATATATATATACACACACACACAAAATAGAAAAGGGATGAGAGTGGAGTTGGGTCTTGTCAGGTTGATCTGGTGAAATAATCCCTAAATTTAATATATGATTACATAAATATAGACTCCAACATATATTTTATTGCATATATTTTCTATCATAGATTGCAACGCCAAGAGAGAGAATAAATCCAGGAGATCAGAATGACCGAAATCTTATCTGATGCCCACTAACCCATATAAAATGGACAAAGGCAGATTGATGGTTGACATTTTCTTCAACCAAGTAATGGTGAGCTCATGCTCTTTTACGGTTGGGAAGGTCGCAGTTCTCTTAAACTGAAAGAACAAGTCAAATGCCTGTTAATTTCCTGTGATGAGGATCGAAGACAGCTTCAAATTATACCGAGTCTTGAGATTTGTTCCATCAAGACAGGAAGGATCTGAAGAGCTCCTCACTGAGCAAAGAAAGATTCTGGTGAAAGTCCAAGATCTATATGTTAGATTTCTCTTGATTCTGACTGAATAGTATTAGAATGACCTTCCTCCTATAGATCTACTTCATGCGCAGCTTTTGACCTGGCAATTTTGGTCCGGAGATTACATGTTCAAAGTTGATTCTGAGAAGCAAAATATAAATCACAAGACCAAGTAAAATAAGCAACAAGAGGACAAGAACATTAGCAGAGGGAAATGGAGAACATGAATGGAGCAGAAGTTTGCATGCACGTTTGCGTCTCTTTTGCTCAACTGAAATCCATATGTAATGCTGTGCCCTGGCAAGATGAAAGCACGGTTGACATAATTTATAGCAGAATGGAATTCATAGCTGCATCTAAAGTCAACCCACTCAAATCCAGTTGTAGATATTTTGCTGCATCCTAAAGCTGGATAAAGTATTTCTGACTGATTCAACATGGACTTCCTCCTAAAACCTTGCTGCAGATGCATTCAGAACTGAGATTGGGTGAGGAGCAGTTTGGTTCTTCTACAGGAGGAACAGAGTCTGCAAGTGCCAATTCCTTTCTTCACAGATTGCCAGTATCAACCCTTTCAGCATAAATAAATTGAATGTCTGTATGTATCTCTAATCTCTCATTTCTGTGCTTTGTTTGCACTGTTTTGCAGTCTTATAATAGCTCACGAACAGATTGTGCATCAAAAGACACAACAAGTATATATCCGACAGCAGACACTTCATATCGTAAAAGATTCATGTGGAAATGCTTACTATGGAGTCAGATATAAAGAAAACCGTAATCTAGTGTTCAGAGTTTTATCCTTTTATTGTTTCTTTCTTCCTCTTTCCTTCTTCTTCTTTTCTGTTCTATATGAATTGTGTATTGATTGCTAAAGCTTCAAAAGTTAGTGTTAAAGCTGTTACTTTAGTAATCAATGCATACTACAAAACATGAGCCACATATATATGTTCTCGAAACACTTTTTTCCTGTGACAAAGGTGATGATGTTTTGTCGGACAGGAGCTTGTTTCATGAATCAGTTCTATTTCATATGTCCTTAGATCAATGTCCTTTACATGTGATACATAATAATTATGATCATCATCACTGATTAGTCTCGGAGCTTCACTGCTACCCTTCATGATATGAAAAGTTTCAAGTAACTTTGGATTGAGCTGCACATGTCGAAGTACAGAAGTTTTGGATTTCCAAGCTTTTGTTAGATTTCAGGGTTATCATCTTCAATTTTCACTTACAGTACTCTCTTGAAGTATTTTTGCTAAAGTGCAATATGTCACAACAAATAATTGTATCTTCTCTAAGATCTCTATTTCCCAACTATTATTTTCTATCAGAGATATGTCATCAGTTGCTACTGAGGATGCTGAGCATAATAATTCCATGGAGCTGGGAAGCCCTCCCCATGTCACCTCTCCTCCTATTTCAGAGTCAAAGCAAGCAGGAAATACTCCTCCAAGTAGATCTGATTTCCTACTGTCTTTGTCGACTAAAGTCGATATCGCAACAGAGCTTGTCGCAAAATGCAGCAATGGAGCTCAGGCAGTCCCGGATGATGAGGTCAAGAGCTTCATCAAACAGCTTGAGGGAGTGATCAGAAGCATGGCAGATGACCTTAGAGACATACCACTGTCCATGGAATCACTCTCGGGAGAGATGATACATGTTGGCCTACAGATAAATGGGCAATGTGACACAGATCAAAACAAGCTGGAAAATGCATCCACACCAAGAATGGAAATGAGGGAAGGGACAAGTTCGGTTTCAGAATCTCAAAGGGAGAACAAAAGTGGTGATATGCCCCCTATGGCAAATTATCTTCTAGGGATGTATGATGGCACACAGAGAAATGATCGCCAATCCTCCAACATTCTTCCACAATTAGCAGACACTCTGCAACCTGCATACCAGAGCTTCTTCTGTCCATTAACCAAGAAAATAATGGATGATCCTGTCACCATAGAAAGTGGGCTAACCTATGATAGAGAAGCTATAGCTGAGTGGTTTGAGAGGTCCATAGATGTTTCAGAAAACATAGTTTGTCCAGTCACAAGGATGGATGTAAAGGAAGCAGCTTTAAGCAGCAATGTAGCATTGAGGAACACCATAAAAGAGTGGAAGGAAAGAAATGAGGCAACAAGGATAAGGATTGCCAGCAGTGCCTTATCATTAGCTACTTCAGAAGCCATGATTTTGGATGGAATAAAAGAGCTGCAATTTCTGAGTCAAAGCAGAAGATTCAACAAGGAGCAGATGCACACCATAGGAATCACAGGGCTACTCACACAGTTTCTGCAGCATGAGAGCATGACCGTGCGCTGTGAGGCGTTGGAACTTCTACGTGTACTAGCTGAGGATGAAGATGGAAAGGTTGGCTGTCTTCTCCCTCTCATCTACTTGTTCTTTTGAAGAGTTTGGTTGGAGGCTAGCATCTCCCCTGCATCGAATCTGTTGGTTTCGGTTGATGAAATGCAGATTGTGCTTAATCTTGATCAAATTTGCAGGTTATCATTGCGAGGACAAGAGCCCTCACAAGAACAATCAAGATGATGTCTAGCTATAGTTCTCCAGAAAGGCATGCAGCTGTTTCATTCTTATTAGAACTCTCAAAATCCGAACTGTTCTTGGAGAAAATTGGGCGCACTCCCGGAGGTATTCTTATTCTCATCACGATGAAATATAACAAGGATGCTGATCCTTTCGCAGCAGAAAGAGCAGAGGAAGCTCTGAAGAACTTGGAGAAATTGCCAAAGAACATCAAATGCATGGCAGAAAATGGTTTTGTGGAACCCCTTTTGGACCATCTCATTGACGGTAGATTAGCAATAGTGTCATAGTATCTCAGTTCTACAAATTTCTTTGGCTTTCCTGATCACTGTATTGCATCAACACAGGTACAGAGGAGGTGCAAACGGAGATGGTGAGCTACCTCGGAGAGATAGTTCTTGAGCATGACATGAAAACTTATGTTGCAGAGAGAGCCTCCAATGCTCTGATCAAGATGGTCAATGGCGGGAGCTCTGTTATCAGGAAGGAAGCATTTAGAGCTCTGGTTCAGATTTCATCCCACCCCCCGAACAGCAAGATGCTTTTAGATGCAGGCATTGTCCCGATCATGATCGAAGAGATATTTGCTCGCAGAATCCAGAACGAGCCCTTGGAATCCAAGGAAGAGGCTGCTGCAATCCTTGCCAATATCCTCGAATCAGATCTTGACATGGAAAAGATACAGGTGAACAAGCATGGCCACACCATCACCTCGCACTACTCCATCTACAACATCGTCCACCTGCTGAAGTACTCCACGCAGCAAGAACTGAACGTGAACATCGTCAAGATCTTGCTTTTCCTGACCAAACTCCCAAAACCTCTGGCCACAGTCGTTTCAGTGATCAAGGAGATCGAGGTACACCAGGGCATCATCGAGTTCCTCAATTCTCCAATGGAAGAACTCGCTACTGTCGCTGCCAAGATGCTCATCGTTCTTGCATCCCATATGGGCCACACGATCGCAGCCGGCCTCTGCAAGATTCAGGGACAGCCGGAGGGCCTCGTCAAGAACTACGACACCGATCGGATGACAGAGAGGCAAGCAGTGTCGGTGAATCTGATCGCGAAGATCCCGCACCAGAACGCACCACTCAATCTAGCTCTCCTCCATCAAGGCACAGTGCCCATCATCCTTAGCAGGATACAAGAGATCCTGCGAGGCGAGGTAAGAGCCACCGGCTCCAGGTACACAGGCTACTACCTCGAGGGTCTGGTTGGCGTTCTTGTGAGGTTCACTACCAGTCTGTTCGATCAGGAGATCCTATACATGGCTCTCTCTCGGAACTTGACATCGGTGTTCACGGATCTGCTGGTGAGGACAGGGGGAAGCAGTGAAGTCCAGAGGTTAGCAGCAGTTGGGCTTCAGAACCTCTCTTCCCAGTCTGCAAGACTGTCAAGGCCGCCCGCAGACATCAAGAAGTCCACCAAGATGAGCTTCTTCGCCAAATCCGTTTCAGGGTCGCAGAGAGATGGGAGGATGACGCTGCTGTGCTGCCCAACGCACAGGGGTGTCTGCTCCTCGTCCACCACCTTCTGTTTACTGGAGTCGAGGGCTGCGGAGAGGCTGCTGGGTTGCCTGGAAAGCGAGAGTCCAGAGGTTGTGGAGGCAGCACTGTCGGCAATCATTACACTGTTGGATGACGGTGTGGACGCGGAGGGAAGCGTGAGGGCACTGAGTGAGCTCGGTGCAGTGAGGAGCGTGTTGGGGGTGTTGAAGGTGCACAGGGAGGAAGGGGTGCTGCAGAGAGCTCTATGGTTGGTGGAGCGGTTCCTGGAGAAGGGAGGGGATAAGTTATCCAGGGAAGTCTCCCATGACAAGGTACTGACCACTGTGCTGGTATCTGCTTTCCATAGAGGAGATGGCAACACCAAGAAGATGGCTGAGAACATACTGAGGCATCTGCATAGGATCCTTAATTTCTCTACTAATAGTTTTGTTATGTGAGATCTATGTACAATTTACACATGAAAACTTGATATATTGTGATTGGGAAGAGAGACATATGTCTTGTTCGATATGTTTGACTCCACCAAGATGATGTGAAGAGATGAAAGAATGGGTGGTTTGCTCTTAGCTTCCCTGTAACGGTGGAAGAAGACTTTTGTGATTTGTAATTGATATCCAGTCTAATAATCACTTAATTAATATGATATTTAGTATTTAATCCTCTCACTCTTAAAGCGAGGATGTGGGTTCGAGTCACTTCCAGTGAGTCCGGTTCGTCTGCAACTCGCCCGAGTCAGATCGGTTGGCTCGATAACGGAACTGGCGAGTTCAACACGTAAGCCATCGACGGGTTTGGAGGACTTTAAAGAGAGCCTTAAACCAGACGACGTCATCCGCTGCTCGTTGGTTCCTCTCCCTTTCCGCTGCGGCGGCGATTCCCCCTTTCTCCTCCTCCCCCCCCCCTCCTTCTCGCGGCGGCGCTCATGGCGCAGAAGAGAGGGCAGCGCGGCGCCTCCTCCTCCGCCGACGATCCGGAGGTGGTCGCCCGCGTACCCCTCCAGGCCGTCCTGCTCGCCGACAGCTTTAACCTAAAGTTCCGGCCTATCACCCTCGAGCGCCCCAAGGTATTCGTAATTCTCGGTTATACGGTCCTCCCACCTTCCTAGGGTTTTTCTTGTACGCTGATCTGATTCTTGAACCGGCCCTTTGGAGGTGCTCTTGCCGTTGGTGAACGTCCCGATGATCGAGTACACCCTCGCCTGGCTCGAGTCCGTCGGGGTCGAGGAGGTCTTCGTCTTCTGCTGCGCCCACTCTCAGCAGGTGAAGCAGTACTTGAATCAGTCCGAGTGGACCAAGCCCGCGGCCAGACTCTCCGTCACCACGATCGAGTCACATGACGCCATTAGCGCTGGAGATGCGCTCCGTGTGATTTATGAAAAATCCGTGGTAAGCTATTGCTAGGTTTTTGTGTGGACGTGTGGTTGTAGCTTGTTCACCAACGGTTCTCAATCGAATTCTGCTTTGTTTTTCTTCTGTGGCTTTAGTGAAATGTAATTAAAGATAAAAAAGATTGCTTGCATGTATATATGTGTAATTATATGTTTTTCTTCTGTTGATTTTCTTCCATGAGCTACTTGCATGGGAAGGTATGCCTGTTACTTTGAGAGTAGAAGTTTGTCATCTTCAGGATAGTTGTAATATACTCTGTGGCAGTATTAGACTAGAAGGGATGCAATAAGGCCGTGAGAAGTGAAAATAACCTTAAAGAATGTCATTTTACATGGAGACTTTATGATGATAGTAATGCAGCTTGTCCTATAGCTTTCATGGCACACGAAGGAGACTTGCGATGAACACAGATGTTGCATGGATATCATTGGACAAATTGTCAGTAGTAGTTGGCACACTACTTAGGATGTCAAAATCATAAAAGCATTTATGAAAGCTTCTGCTGATAATTTTGTTTGGAATGTGACAATCTAATTTTTCTTCGTTTTACGTACTTCTATTGTCTATGCTATTTCTTAAAAGATGTTAATTATATTATCCACCATAATTTATATTGGTAATTACTTTTTCTTTTGTTACTATTTGTTCTTAAAGTCATATGTCCTAGCGTAATGTTACTTTGAGGTTTCCATTTATCTTACTAGTTGCCTTTTGTTTTCCCTGAAGATACGTGGAGATTTTGTTCTCATTAGTGGGGATACTGTTAGCAACATGAGTTTAGCTCAAGCCCTCCATGAGCACAAGGAAAGAAGGAAAAAAGATCCACTTGCTATTATGACCATGGTTATCAAACACTCTAAGCCTTCAAATGTAACACATCAAACTCGACTTGGCACTGATGAGGTTATAATGGCTTTTGATCCTGAGACAAAAGAGCTTCTTTTCTATGAGGACAAGGCAGACCCTTCCCAGCGGATTATTTCTCTTGATAAAATTTTGCTAGCAGATAGTCCTGCTTTCTATATGCATAATGATAAGCAGGTACTTTAAGTTACAACTTGCTTCTTTACTTTTTGCACGTCTTTTTTGACTTTATTGGTTGTCATATAGGTAATCTTGATGGAAGACTGCATGGACTTTATGGTCTTCTGAACCAAAATATACGAAAAAGACTTTGCATCGTACTTTGGAACAAGGTTTATCGTGCCACAACGTACTACTCAGTACGGGTGGTACGTATTGGTCCGACTAGGGCCTGGTATGGGTGGTACATATCGGTTTGTCGGTGCAGTCCACCGTACTGTGTGTTGGTACATCGTTATGGTTCGGTACATATTGCACCAACAACTGATTAGTACACCAATATAGACCTGTAAGAGGAACCAGGCTTTGGAAGACTTGATACTGAATGCCAATGTATCTTTTTTAATGATAAATCTGTAGTGCATTTCCTTTAGCAGCCACATTCTGCAGAGAGGCAGATAGTTGTAACATTGTTGCATTTCTTTCAAGGTTTTGAATATTGGTGATAGGTGGAGATTGTACCATTGGTGGTGGGTAGTAAGGAACACATCATGACTAATGAAGAATATTTTGAAGATGATATTAATGTACAATTGAAATATTATTACTATTCATTAACATGCTAGAAGGAAAAAAATTCAGCTCACTAGGCTAACGGATAGAGAATCATGCCCATCTTTAAAAACGATGACATAAAGGTGGTAAAGAAGAAGAGAAGATGGAGAGCAATGGAGAAAGTGAAGAAAAGTAATCGAGGAAGGGAAATAAACAAACATAGAAAGGAGTAGAGGGAAAAAAAAAACATGATAAACTTTTATGTTAGAACTCAATTGTTCAGTATTCTGTTCCTTTTTGCTGAACTTCTTTATTGTTTGATATTTTTCCTTTTTTAATCAGCAAAATTGTTATAGGGTATCAACAAATTTAGTTGCTTGATAACTTGATATGAATCTCATGGTTCATAAAGACGACAGGACTAATAAAATGGTTTCCAATACTAAAGAGACGGTCAAAGGCACACCTCAGTCATGAGCCTTGTCTGAGGCATCTAAGAGAATTTTCCTTGACACATAATAGGCATGCCTAGATAATGTGCTAAAAATTGTTGAAATTTTTTAGTTGCAACACATTTTTAAGTGATTAAATGTCTTCTTTTTCAGGATTGCTACATAGATATCTGCTCTCCTGAAGTCCTCAGTCTTTTTATGGATAATTTTGATTATCAACATCTTCGCCGTCATTTCGTCAAGGGTTTGCTCGTTGATGATGTGAGACAAATCTTTTCATATTCTTTTGCTGTTTTTAGGATCCATATTTTGTGCACATAGCATGAAATACATGCTACATCTTATATTATTTTTCGCAATTTCAAATTTCTTTTAGTATGTTCTATAATTTTTGTCCACATTTTTGCACTTATATCCATATTTGTAATTGAATGTTTCAACTTATACTATATTTGTCAAGGCAAATGAATCTTGATTGTTTCCTGATTTGGTATCTGGTATAGAGAAGGTCTGATTGAATTCTTGACATGCGACCTTTGAAATTCTTTGAGATATTCTCCATTTCAAGTTCAGACCTTTGATAATTATAAGTTTGATTTTTCGATCATTGATATGGTGTCAAAGATGGATACATCCAATATTTTTGTCTTTTGTTGGTGGACTTCTGGAAGTTCTTAGTTATGTTTATAGCATTACCACCTTATGTAATAGCAGTATCTTTTGCCTAAAATATCATTCTTCTGTTTTCGTGCATATCCATTTAATTGTGTTGGTTAATATGCTAAGAGAAATGACTGATAGTTTTGCACAAGTTGTATATTATTTTTGCAACTATGCAGTATGTTTTTGTACTTCGGATTTCTTATCCATAGATGAGAATTGCCTCTTATGCTTTATAGATGAGCAGATGGAGAATAGCCTCTTATGCTTTATAGGACTTCTGCATCACTTTGCAAAACTTAGAAAAGATGGATGCTTATATAGGGCGAAATAATCATTTAGAACACAGGATCACGTCACATGCATATCATCAATTGGATACATCTTGGTTTGCTTGATGTTTGGTTGACACATTTCTTAGTTTATCTGAGGACTTGGGAAGAGTTCGGTGTATTTTTTTCAATCAAGAACTGTTATAGAAAACCTAATGACCACAACAAGATCTATGCGCACTGGTTCTATTTTTTAATTGACTCATTCTTTCATTGTGAATCTAGAACTGGAAGAAGCAGCAGTACACTTTCAATGATTAAAAAAGCAGCAACCAAGACCTCATGAAAGGAACAGAGTTAAGAATTTGCAACATGAATAAAGCTTTAAAATGAAATAAAAAAAAATGCTTTATCTCACAAGCTTTGTTTGGTTTGTTATCTGACTACAATGATTCATTGAGTGGTACAAAGTATTAGATTGAACAAAGCATCAGGCTTTTGGAAAGAATAATAAGATGCCATGAAACATAGACTTGCTATATGTATGTATGTATGTACGTGGCCCTGGCAATTAAAAAATAGAACCAGTCAATTAAAAAATAATCTACAAGTGGTTACATGGCCCTGGCAATCGAAATAGGTCTTTAATATACAGGTATCTTCAGGTTTTTTATTTCTAAATGGACCTTTGTTGTAAAATTGAGGTTCAGTTACGGTTACTTTCTTGATGGTTTATATGGTTTATTAGTTATCAAAGTTGAAAGGGATTTGAAAGATCAAATGCTGGTAATTCTTAATTTTCGGAACTTGTTTGTTGCTTTTTCTTTGGAGAAAGAACATATAAGGTTTTGCGAGGTGAGCATTGCATTCTTATTTTTTTAAACTTTTCTGGCTGTCAGATATCTTGCAATGGCTAGATAGAGTAGCAATAATCTAGATCACAGCCACCTCAACTAGATTGAAAATCATTTACTTAGATTGGCTCAATAAAGGAAGTTGCTCTTGAACAGAGGGCTGGGTAATTGCTTAGGTTTTCAAGAAATCTAGACATTGAATGAGAAGTATGGAAGGGAGTTAAAATGAAAGAAGAGTACAGAGATTGCTAAGGTTGGTTATATAAGTCAGATATCCAAGTGATCTTATCGATTTGAGAATCCTCCAATTTTTTCTTGTATCTACTATCCTGATCAAATTATTTTGAGTTTATGGTGTCTTTTTTTAAGCTGTTCACTTGTATGGATTATTCGTAG